TAGTCAATGCCTTTCTAATTATTTAGAATGTCTATTTATGCCTATTTCAGTTGGGAATTAGTTTTAAAATAAAAATTGATGATGTCATTTGTAATCTTGAAATTGATAACACAAGGCGGTAAAGTGTATATTTCTAAAGTATAGGGGGCAAAGTGTTTTTCATCCTCAAGTTCAAGAGGGTAGAGTGTAATTAATCCTTTTTTCTTTCTCGAGGAACAGTAGTCCTAATCCTAATAATGATTGCAGCTACATCCCATCAATTGATAAGAGGGAGGTATTGAAGATTCTGAGAGATCTTTCCATTGGAAATTGAGGACTGTTTGTGTAGCTACCATTCCAGGATCAAATATCAATACAGCCTAGGCCCTAGGCAATAGTCTTATTGAGCAAATTATCCCAGTGGCCACTAAACTTTTGCCATCGTCGAGTTTTGGTCACTCAACTATTAAAAGTCTGGTTTTGGCCATCAAACTATATAAAAGGTAGACTCGAGCCCATTCTGTTAGATTTAGTCGTTAACTTCGCAGAGGTGTCTGTCCGCGCGATTTCCAATACAAAATGTAGGGTCAATTTAGGAAGTCGAAAATATCACTTGCACCTCTTCTTCCTCTCCCATGCATCTGTTCTTCTTCTTCCTTGCCTAAACCCAAACATCAAACAATTGACAATTAAAGAAAAACGCAACAACAAAGAATTTTGGGGGATTGAGCGACAGCAGAACGGGTTGACAAACAAGATCTTCATTTCCTAGAACGATGGAGTGGCCCAAGTGGGTGATTAGACCAAGGGGCCAGCATTTTGATCCATCTGATGCATACGGTAAAGTTTTAAAATCCCTAAGTTTGTTTAGTTATCCACATCCCAGAATAGATTGTGTGTTTCATGTATGTATGGGCTACATTTTATCGTTGTTTTGGCTTTTTGCAATAAAGCATAGAGATTTCATAGTACACTGATTAAAGTATTCTTAATGCTGGAAAAAGGGGTTAATAAATAATTCATTCATTGAATTTGGGTTTACTAGTTTTGACTAAAATTTTAATTTTTTTAACTAATCACATGTCATGCAGTGCCAGGTTCTTCTCTGTTCACCATACGAATGTATCATAGGGGTAAATTCAATTGGCAAAATTACAGATACATTGATGGGCATGTAGATTATGTTGATTTATGTGATGCGGAAACAATGTCTGTGCATGAAATAAACTACATGGTGGATAAATTAGGGCATTATGGATGTATGGTGTATTACTATGTTGAGCCTGGAAAAGATTTTCGAAATGGGTTGAAGGAATTATCTACTGATAAAGCCATTATCAGTTTTTGCAATTGGGCTTATAAGCATAAAATCATGGAGGTGTACTGTGACCACCAGTCAAAGAATGAAATCAAGATGATGGCCACAAAGTCCCTTCCTTCTGATCTACAGCTGAGTAAAAAAGCCGCAGTCACCATCGAGGAACTTGACGAAAATGGAAATGTTATTAGGGAACCTGGATTTGAACTAGTGCCATTTACAGGATCAATTGGCAAGATAGATATTGGGAACTCTTCTAAAGAGAATGCCTTGAATAATGGGGATGATGGGGATGCAAATGATAGAGGAAATATAGATGGCCAAGTGGAGACTGATATTGATTCGGATGGAGACTGTGATCGCTTTAGTGCTGATAGAGATTTCTGTAGGGATGAAGAAATGTTAGAAGAATTGATTGTTGAAGGGCTAAAATCTGGTGTGGATTCTTCAAATACAGAGCAACCTAGATCGTCACAACATCCCAATTCTAATGATGATTGTAATAATGCTGCACAACAGCAAGAATCAGTTGTAGATGAGCTAGGCAGACAACAACAAACAGCTGGGATGGATCCATGGTCACAACAATCAGGACTTGAAACTGAATTTGAACATCAGCAGCAGCCTGAGACAAATGAAGAACAACCCACGGATGTGGGAACTGGAAACCAACAGTCGCAGAGGAAGAAGCAAGTTAGAAGGAGAAGAAACAACAATAGAACATTAGGAGAAGAGGCAGCTCCTCATTTAGATGATGTCCATGCATTAGATAAAGACACAGTGGTGACTGAGTTGCATAGTGATGTTGGCTCCTCAGATGAAGAGAATGATGATGACTGGAGGAATAGGTATGTTGATTTCAATCCGGCTGAACAGCTAAGATTAGCTGTTAGAACATATTCCATCATGAAAGGAAAACCAGTAAAGCCATACACAAATGAAAAAAAAAGGTTTAGAGCAAAATGCAAACCTCCTTGCCAATGGTTTATTTATACTTCAGTTGAGAGGGAACTTGGAATAGTTGATTTGGTTGTCAAGAGCATGAATAATGAGCACACAAACTGCAGTCATGTATGGAAGAACAAGAATATTTCTGTTAAGTGGCTTGCAAACAAGTACATGGAGAGATTTAGATGTAATGTTGAAATGCCTCCAAGATTATTAAGACGAATAGTTGATGAGGACTTCAAAGCTGAAATTTCAAAATGGGTGGCATACAATGCAAGGGCAATTGCTAAAAAGGAGATTCAAGGATATGCAGAGCAGCAATATAAGGACATATGGAGATATTGTGCAGAAATTAAGAGGACACACCCAAATACCACAATGGAAGTTATGTTTACTCCCTTCAGACAACCTGGATGCAACCCAAAATTCATGAGACTTTATTGCTGTTTGGGACCATTAAAACAAGGCTTTCTTGACGGTTGTAGGCCCATTATTGGGGTTGATGGATGCCACATAAAGGCTGAATATCGGGGACAACTGTTGACTGCTATTGGAGTAGATCCCAACAATGGATGGTGGCCCATTGCTTGGGCAGTGGTTGAGAGAGAAGCAACTAAACAGTGGAAATGGTTTTTTGAGCTGCTGAAGAATGACTTGCAGATTGAAAATGGGTACAGCTACACCTTTGTTTCTGACCAGCAGAAGGTATTAACTCCTTCCCTTTGTATATGCACTGTACACAGATCTGTTTCAATTTACTAATGCCTTTTGTTTGTAATAATTTATAGGGTCTTGACCGAGCATTATCTGAGGTACTACCAAACAGTGAGCACAGATACTGTGTGCAGCACCTGTATAACAACTTCAAGAAGAAACATCGTGGACTTGCCCTAAAGAGAAAACTGTGGAACATTGCAGCAAGTACTACTGAGGGACTATTCAAGAAAGCAGCAGCAGATCTGGAAAATTTTGACAAGGAAGCATATGAATGGGTGAAGAAAGCATCACATCCCAGTCATTGGTGTAAGACTTTTTTTCAGAACATACTCGATGCGATATGTTGGTTAATAATTTGTGTGAAAGTTTTAATGGTCATATACTTGAAGCTAGGCAGCAGTCAATTATCACAATGTTAGAGTCCATTAGGATATTTCTGATGGAGAGGATACAGAGAAGGACAACTGCAATGGAGAAGTTTGAATTGTCCATTGGCCCACTAATTAAAAAAATAATTGATGATAGGGTGATAGAATCAAGACAATGGAGGACCATTTGGAATGCTGTGGATGGATACCATGTTAGGGGACCAAGGGGGGCCCAGTTTGCTGTTTATTTAAAGAAAAAATCCTGCACATGCAAACTGTGGGATCTATCAGGTATTCCTTACTGTCATGCTATTGCAGCAATTCACAGAAATAATGGCGACCCCTATAAAGAGGTGTATGACTGCTACAACAGAGATCTGTTTCTAAAAATTTACAAAAATGTTTTGTATCCTATCAATGGACAAGTAATGTGGCCTGAAGCTGATGGGGTGGATCTTGATCCACCAGAAAGGATAGTGCAACCTGGCAGACCTAAGAAGGCCAGGAGAAGAGATCCTACTGAAACTCAAAAGACTGGAAACAGATTGCGGAGAAGAATAGTCATCCATTGCAGAAAATGTGGTGTTGCCGGCCATAATGCAGCTGGTTGCAAGGTGCAGCAACAAGACAATCAACAACAGCAGAATCAGGATAGCGAGGAGCAGGAGCAGAACCAACAGCAGCAACGTGGTTCTAAGAATATGCAGCAGCAACAGCAGAACCAACATCAGCACCAGAGTCAGCATGAACAGACCCAACACCAGCACCAGAGTCAGCATGAACAGATCCAACACCAGCACCAGAGGCAACATCAGACCCAACACCAACACCAGCACCAGAGGCAACATCAGACCCAGAGGCAACATCAGACCCAACACCAGCATCAGATGCAGCATCATCAGGCCCAACAGCAGCACCAAAAGCAGCAGCAGACCCAACAGCAGCACCAGCACCAGCAACACCAGCAGCAGGATCAATATCAGCAGCAGCAAAATCAGCAACACCAGCAACAGAATCAACATCAACAGCAGCAGGATCAGCAACAGCAGCAGAATCAACAGCAGCAGCAGGATCAAGAGTATCAGCAGAACCAACAAGAACAGCAATCACAATCTGCTGTTGAGGAAAGTGAACATGCACAGCATTGACAGCAGGAAGAAGTTGTACAAAACCAACAACAGTCTCAGAGCCAAGGGGCTCATCAACAAAGGAAAGCAGGAAAACGAAAGTTAACAGATTCAGAAAAGGGGCGGATCAATGCCAATTATGCATATTTAGGTAAAGAACCTCCTTTCACTGTTGGAAATTGGAGGGGAAAATGGAGTAGAGCTGGTACTAGAAGAGGAGGAACTTCAGCAACAACTACCAGAGGACAGCCAAGAGTCAAAAGAGGATCAAATTGAAGAGGAAGTAAAGCTATAGCTAGATTGGGACATAATTCAACTACATTTTGTCTTTTTGTATGAAGTTTGTTTTGGATTTGATATGCTGACCTATTACGAACATGGTCCATATGTACAAACAATTTATTTTGTCCAATCTACACAGATTGTTCTATGTTAATGCAGCACTTTTGTTTAGTTCTTATGTCTCTGTCATTTATTGATGAAATTAGTAGAACTGAAATGTGTTGTTTCAAACCTTTTTTGACACCAAATAATAACTATTTATTCATGTGAACAATACAACTTTTATACATCAAAATGTTTATACAGAGGGGTACAAAAGGGGCTTTATAAAGCCATTTGCCCTTTCCCTTTCAATATGCTACCATTACAACAGAGTAGCTATTCTTCAAGGATTTTCAACGATGCCACAAATTTGTAGCATGCCACCAGAATTATCTATTCTCATAACTAACATTGCTAAGACAACTATTAGCCAAGGCAACACTGCGCATCGAATGAGTCGCTTATTGGCTGATTTGTACTTGGCAATTTCAGTTTGAAGTGGCTTCATTTTACCCTCCAATTTCACAACTTTTGCTTCCCACTTTCTTGCAACTTTTTCAAATTCAACCATTTTTTTCTCCATTCCATTGATCTTTCTGAGTAAACCCGGTATAATCATTATAGATTGAGCACACATTTCATCATCTATCCAACCCCAATAGCCACAGCCATCCTTCAAAAAAAAAAAAACAAATTCATTATATTTCTTACACAATAATAAATTAAGTATCTAAAAAAATGTTACAAACCTCCCCCAATGCGCATTTGGCAAATCTTCTTCCCGGATTTTGTGCAGTCCATGAAGTTATCATTACTGTCTTCATCCCACAAACACAAGTAGGCAAAATGGGTGTCAACGATGTAGGTGGCATGGATCTTGCTGGCCCGGCTCTTGGTGGCGTTGATCTTGGTCCTGCTTCCTCTAATCCAAGTTGGGCTTCTTCATTTCCTTCTCTTGTAGTTTCTCTCGGGTAAGTAATCTTTATTAGCTTTATACAAGAAGAACAAGAAGATCTAATTTCGACTTCCTAAATTGACCCTATCTTTTGTATTGGAAATCGCGTAAACGGACACCTCTGCGAAGTTAACGACTAAATCTAACAGAATGGGCTCGAGTCTACCTTTTATATAGTTTAATGGCCAAAACCAGACTTTTAATAGTTGAGTGACCAAAACTCGACGATGGCAAAAGTTTAGTGGCCACTGGGATAATTTGCTCTAGTCTTATTAGGTACAAGAGCAAGAGCATTTTACACGAACTCCAATTTTAATGCAACGGCGAATTCATGTTTATGTTCACGCATCAACATAAACAGTTCTATATTTTACCAAAAAATACAGTTATCGAAACAGGGATGAACGCTTTGGTAAACTTTCATTGTACAAATTTATGATTTCAACTCTCATTGCCTCATTTTCCCTTTTTGTAATTTTTGGGTAACTGTACTAATGATTAAGGAACAAGAAGATTTAATCGGAAATGAGAAAATAAGAAACATTAAGGATCTGTTTGATTGGAAGTAAAATATTTTCCTTGGGAAAATATTTTTCGTGGAAGTAATTTTCCATGAAAATCATTTTCCTTTCATCATTTTCAAGTATTTGGTTAGTTTATTGAAAATATTTTCTTATTTCATTTTTCTGGTGTTTGTTTAACTTTTGAAATATTTTCACTTTTATCTCTATCGTTACTTTCTACACATTATAACTACGTACTTCTTCCCATGCAAAATAAGAAAATTTATCTCATTGTTTAACTTTAAAAAATCTTGAAAAAATGTATATATGAATAAAAAATATCTTCTTAAGTAATAAATAAATTGCTGGCCATTTAGTGTCAAATATCAATCACATACAATGCTTATTGTGACATATATCTTGCACTCTCACTGCTGCAAGTTTTTCTAGAAAAGAATATCCCTATTATACATAATTAATTACTAGCATAGGATGAGCAGGATAAGGTTTTTTTTTTATTTTGAATATACTAGGGGGAAGGTTGGGTTGGATGGTACGGGAGATGGAGTGTAAGGAAGAGGTTTTGGGTTCGAGTCTTCCTGTTTACACTAAAAAAATAAAAGAACATACTACAAGATGTTTTCAATAAGTTTGGAATATGCTACAGGCGAAATACATGCATTTCAGAAAACAACTTCAGTAAGTTTGGAAAGGAAGTTGTTTTCTATAAGATGAATGAAAATATTTTACATAGGAAAATGTTTTCAGTAACTTTTGTGCAACCAAACATGGGAAATTAGGAAAATATTTTTCTGGAAAATATTTTCACCCGAAACAAACGGACTCTAAAAGAAACAATACTGCTAGTTCTGTAAGTGTATTACTAGCAAAGATTAACGTGAAAAGTTTTGACTTCCATGAACCAACCACTGTTCTACCAAGTATTAACTTTCCTTGAATATCTTTCAAGGCATGTATATATAGTATATTCCACCACGACAGGGAATACTTTCTATCAATTACGTGTTCTAGAACTGGTGCAAAAAGGAAAAAAAAAATTTACATGCTCTAGAACCAAATATGCAGGACATTGGTTGATCAGAAGGGTAAATGGATTTACAAGTTCCAGTTGCAACATAGACCCTACAAACTTGAGCTTCAATCATTCCCAAGGTAAAATGAAAATGAATAACAGCAATGAAAATGGCAAATGATTCTAACTTTCATGGTTGGTGGAAAAGGTGCATGCTGCGAAATGGTGAAAAGTCAGTTTTGCCTTACAGAGAAGCGTTTGTCTCTAGTTATGTTCTTGATCACCATCAAAACAATAGATTCTGAACTACATCATCTGATACCAAATCTCACTATAATCGGGGTTGGACCAGTGACTTCAGTAGGTTAACGCAGGTGGACGCGTTCTTATTTAGGAAGCCAGAAGTGGAAAGGGCAATTTTGATTTCGATAAGCAATGTAATTATTTGGCTAAGTAAGAAAAGATTATACAAAGTTCAGGGATAAATTACCCAAAATACTAATCCTGATGATATTTTGGTTAGAAAAGAGCCTGTCATCCTGAAAAGTCTAAGGCCTCTAGTTACCAATTTTCATAAAGAGTTGCATCTAAAATTGCAAGGGGGATGTTTAACATGAAACTTTCTTGTGCCACGGCCGGGAAAACTACCGTTAAAATTAAAATGCTAATTCAGGCACCTAGACATCAGCAAAGTAACGTTGCTTTAGAATTCATTTCTATCCTCTACTAAAAACCGTTCCAAGCACCATTGATTTTTCATTTCTATCCAACTTCATGTCTACTAAAAACTTTTCCAAGCAACATTGATTAGTAGATAGATTTTATAGGCAGCTTGATGTAGTAAAAAAATTTCAGTAACAAGGACTAATAACAGAACTGAAGTTAAAATACTGTAAGCTGTAGAAGAAAGTCAGGTAGAGCAAATACGCTAGACAAACATCAAAATCCTGGAGGCAAGGATGTAGGAATGAAGTTCAAACAATTAATTAGGGACATCTTCTCAATGAATTGCAGATTATGCTGGAGAGTGCATTCAGGGAGGAAACTCGAGTAAGTTAAGTAAACTTACATAAACACACAAAAGGTTTAAAATATCCACCACCATTGCTTACTTTTGAAGCGAGAATGTAACAGTTCGATACTATCCTTTACTCGGGACGATTTGAGCAGCTTTAGCTTCCACTAATCTAAGAGATAAATTTCTAGATTTACTGAAATAATGCTAATAGTACATAGTTTTATGGTGAAGAATTAGAGCTGAAGCCTGGAATCCAAATTTCAATATCAGCATATTCAGTTGGAGATTACAATCCTACCAAACGAACAAAACAAAGAAAAATGCCAATATTATAAGTTCTCAATGTTGTGCAGGGTGTACTTCGTGGTCGTTTACATCTAATTGTACATGATACAATGCAGGCTAACAGGAGAGAACTTCCAGTTGTGCAAAAATGATAGAGGCGAAAACTGATTACCAGGTTTAAAAGGCTAAAGCAAAATTACAAACAACAATTCTATTAGTTCTATTGTAAAGAAAGGAACTCTGGAGAAACAGAGGAAAGTTTTGGAGGTAATCAAGTACTAACCATATTTGGTTGCTTGAAACTCAGATTCAGTTAAAAGGTTTCTTCACTAAGCTACATGTTTCAGTAATAAAAAGAAAACATAACAAATGAACCCACATTGAAGCAACCGTAAATTGCAAAAGTTAACTGCTAGACAAACAACTCAAAATATGACTGAACAACTAGTTTTCCACCTGAATGCATGCCCCAAAACTCATCAAAGGCCTGGAGGCAGGAATTTATGTTCAATTTCAAATACACCATCCTGGACACCATCAGTCACATTGCAGTTCATCTGCCTAGAGGTTAATTTGTGAGAAAACCTATAGAAGTCATTAGGCATTATTAGAAATGAATTGTTCTCATGCTGACTTCTCCTCCAAAATGAATTTACATGTCCTATTTTGTCCAAGCAAGCAACTCTAAAGCCAACAGATGAAGAAGGATCTGTTAGATACGAAAGAATTTCCACAAGTTCATACTTGCACTGTTTATGATTTTCTGGATGACAGCCCCATTTGATGATATCCCAGTCCTTATAAATTGCCCAAATCTCTCCTTCATTAGGAAGTATGCAGTAAGGATAACCTTCTTTTCCGACACAGAAAACTCGATGAGAGAACACACTAGGAGATTCCACACTTGTTCTCTCACGATTAAACATGCCACAGCCAACTGGTAAGCCAGCCTTTATCCACTCATTCTCACCTGGAAGCCCAGGCAAAGGCTTGAGCCACACAACACCAAGCCTACAATTTCCACCCTTTTTAATGACCTTTATGATTTGGACATATGATCTTGGCATGTGATCTTTGGCATTGAAACAGGCCCATGTCTCTCCTACATTAAAGAGACATTCTAGTTTCTCCTTGCCTGTATTATTAGCCAATGCCCCTGGATTAATAAAGGGAGGTGTCTGTAAGTTATCCCTTGAATTAGATTCTGATTGAGAAACATCAAGAACTAAGGTTTGTTGAGTGCTGCAAGCCTGTGCTTTATAGTCATTCTTGTGTATATTGACTGCGCCTGGAAATGCACTAGATTTAGAAATGTAAATGATATAGATTCTAAATATTAAGCAATGAGCAGAAGACATACCTGATTCACCAAGATCATGAGTAGTGACTTGTTCTGCCTCTTTGTCATGTATGCAGCTTCTTCTAGACAGATTGTTGCCGGTTTCTTCAGCAGCATCAAGAATTCTGTCAGAAGCCAATGCCAAATTCCTCAATCTCTTCCTGCTCTTCTGTGTTTGCTCTGCAGTCTGAGTTGAAGTGTCTGCGTTTGGTTCTTTGTCACATTGTTCTGTGGATTCTAGGATGGAAACAAATTTCAGTTCCAAATCCAAAATAATTTTCCTAAATTTTTTCTCTTTTGCATTGAGCTCATTTTCCTTTCCCTCCAACTCTCTCTCTTTAGATTCAATATCCTTTTCCCTACTCTCCAAATTTTCATGCTTTATATCAAGTTCATTGTCCTTTCTCTGTAAAATTTTCCCTTTTGAATCAAGCTCTAATTGCTTTCTGTCTGAATGTTGCTCAATAGCATCAAGCTCATTTTCCCTTGTCTTCAAACTTTTCTTTTTCACATCAAGTTCATGTTGCCTTCTATAAACATTTTTCTCTCTCAAATCAATCTCATTCTCCCTTATCTCCAGCTTCTTCTCTCTTGAATCAAGCTCATTCTCCCTCATCTCCAGCTTCTTCCCTTTTGAATTAAGCTCATTCCCCTCTATCTCCAACTTTCTCTCTCTTGAATCAAGCTCACTCTCCCTTATCTCCGACTTCTTTACTTCTAAATCAAGCACATTTTCTCTTCTCTCAATTTCAGCTCGAATCAACTGCAGCTTTTCTGAAAGACCGTCAAAAAGCTTCTCTTGTAAAGCAACATCCTTCAGCTTTTCATCAACAAAACCCCTCAGATTCCCAAGCTGCATTTGCTCCTCTTCTATCCTCTGCAAAAGCCCTTTCATCAAATTTTCCTTTTCATCCAACTCCTTAATCTTCTGCTCTACCCATAATCTCCTTGTGTCAAGTTTTGTAGTACTCTGGTTGACTGATTCTTGAAGCAAATTCAGTTTCTTCTCTCTTGACCCAAGCTCATTAAATCCTTCATCAAAACTGTTCCGCAAGGGTGTTGAATGGCTATCAAATTCCTCCCATTCACCAAGAGCCAAGTACATCAAAGCTTGGACCCTGGTCTTCTTTTCTTCATTGAGCTCCATTACCTTAGATATCTTCTCCATAATACCCATCTCTGTGTAGTTCTTCTGTTGATCCTCAGTTGAACTTCCGTATTTCCAACAATTTGGAGACTGCAAAGTTATCATAGTATGTGAGTTTTTCTTTTCAATGGTAAATAAGTGTTTCTTGCTAGTATAGACACACGCATTTTTTTGGTTGAAAGAGTAGTACCATAAGGTACCCACTTGGTAGAGAAAGACAATGCAGGTTTAAGAGATATTTTTTTCTGGAGAAACACCTTTTAGAAGCAAATAGCAGAAGTTCTCGTTGCATAGTAATTGTAGATACTGTGTACAAAACTAAAGTGTATAATGTATTACAATATACAGGTGTATTACATTTTTGAGATAAATTTAGTGATACTTGGGGACAACAAAATTGTTAGTATTTGTGGATAATTGTACATATGTTTCTGTTTTACTTGAGTGATTTAGTAGTGAATAAACCTGTTGGGAAACTTATTTTTTTCCTCCTGTATTAAGATGAATTAAACTATACATAGGATGCATTCTTTTTTCTTTTTGTTCTGATATTTTAAAAGTTGCTTTGCACACATAATGGTATAGCTAATGAGCAGAAGACATTGTAAGAGGAATAGCTTAACAGCATGATCATCTAAAATAAACCATAAAAAAAAAAACAACTTGGAAACCGGATATTACATTAGAAAGAGACTATACATTTTACTCAAAAAATAAACAATGGAAAAGGAAGCAAAAAGCAACAAATAAGTTCCAAAACATAGAACAGAGTAGGACCTGTTTTTTGTAAGTAAGAACTAACAGCAGTTTATAGCAATGCCTGCAGATAATCCCAAAATTCGGTCAATATCTATGAAGAAATATAATGGATGGAAACAGTAATATGAAGAAGTGGTAGGAGGAAAATTTTCTTACCAGAGAAAGCAGCATGACAGAAACAAACCTAAGGTATTTTTTCTAATAAAAGCAATGGATAAAACAAAACTGCACTTCTGAGCATAAAGGATACAGAATGAAGAAAAAAGTAAGCAAAAAAATGGACGAAGAAACTTACCAGGAAAGCCAGAACAGCAGGATCAGAATCTGAATTTGGAAAAACGAAAGACATGCAATACAGGACAAGAAAGCAGAGGAGGCTTTTCCCAAAAGAGAAAAATTTATGTTCAGAATTATACATTACCAGAAAAGCAAGATAAGCCAGAGAAGATGATCAGCTGAGTAGCAAACAGTACCAGGAGGATGGAAGCGTGAGAGGAGAAAACAGCAAAGTTCAACAAAGAAGAGTAAAAGAAAGAAAACAGATAAACGAAACGAGTTAAGACCGGACCACATCTTGGCTTCTTCAATTGACATCGAAGATTGATTTGACGTGGAAAAGCTGAAATGATGCTTTGGGTCAGAGCCTTCTTCATGTCCATAATTACTTTTCCCCTGTGGCTTCTGGATGATGCATGTGGCTCAAGATTCTTGATTCCCATTTTCAGCTATGGCAGCAAAACTTCAGAAGCAGCTACACAGGAATACTAGTTTACCAATAAAATAGCACGTACCTCGAAATATTTGATTTCCATTTTCAGCTATATAGCTATCCGTAAGGTTGCTTCTACGGTGGAAAGTAGGTTGACCTCCCACCGTAGGCAGAAAGAATGCTAGAAGGACAGCTCAGCACAAGCATCTCTATCCATGTTTTTGGGGCCCAGTTGAGAGAAGGTGACCGGCAAAGCCTATTGTCATCTGAAGGAGCTAAGAGCAAATTAGTGAAACTATAGATGCTATACTGGAATAATAATAAGAGTTAAGTTTGTCCTTTGTGAATTTGTTATCATCAGAGGCGGAGGAAACAGAAGGTGGGATAAAAAATTTTCATATTAAATTAAATTGTTTTTTTTAAACTAAGTAACTAATTTTTATTTACATTGTAATTGTTTTTTTACATAATTGGGTTTCACCTTTTTACTTTATCATCAATTGCATTTTTTACTTGCTTGTTTCAATGGATTTGCTAACATTAGATAATCCTATCACAACAAAATCTTTTAATTCAACACTTACTTTTAAGTGTAAATTTTGATTTTTACTATGATTTGATTATCCTTATCATTAGATCATTTTAATATTTAAAAATTCTCAAATTTTGACACTAATTTACTGGTCAAATTTGTGATTTATAGTTTGTCATGTCCAGTATAACTAGTTGCAGAGTTAGAATTTAAATTCACATAACCATCTAGTTATTTTAATAGTTCAAACGTCCAATCTTTAAAACTTTTGTATTATGTGATTTATATTTATGATTACTCATCTACAAATTTGATATCGATTTGAAAGTCACCATGTTACGTACGAATAAGGTTACTTATCTAATTTTTAAATTAAAATTAAAATCTACCAGGTCAATTATGTCACGATTTTGGTTTTTTGTAATACTATGTTAATTATGTTTCTAATTATTCATCTACAATTTTGATTCCAATTAAAAAATCACTATCTATGAGGACTCAGTTAGAGGGATCGCTATTAGTATAAACTTTTTAATATCATTTCTAAACTTTCAATTTTATCCTTAGGGAAAAACTTTTAATTTTGCTCTAATTGCTTAATCACATTTTGCCAATATAACTACCCTAAGTATTGTAATTACCAAATTACTATAACCTTGTGAACCAAAATTCTTCAATGAATTATTATTAAAAATAAAAATTTTATAAAATTAATTCCTTTTAATTATTTATGTATATAATTACTCATCTATGCGAACTAACAATTAAATTTAATCCTTAAGATTGGAGTACACATAAATACATTTATGGGCTTTTAACTTGCCAAAATTGTCCTTCAAATTTTGTCCTTCGCCAATTTGGCCTGGGAGCTGCTCCCCACCTGATGCCAATTTTTGGGTGCAAATAAGTGCCCATAAGTTGTTGAGGGGCTTATATTTTATTTCTCGTTGAAATAAAAGGGACCACATAATCAACCGCTTCTACCCCATGTGCAGTAGTTCATTTAATAGCTAACTCTTGCCCGGCCTGCAATGATGTCTTGGCCAAATTTCGTTTGCTCTTCCTACCGTGCACAGATGAGTCAGCTTTCCACCATAGACGGAACCTATCTTGCTGGTTTACCAGCGAAAAAGAAAGAAAAAGACACAGAAATGATAGGAAGTACACTTTTCAAAAGATTTTCCAATCACCAAACATTTCAAGAAAAATTACTCAAAACATCTTCCACATTTTGCCAAATGAATATTTTCATCATTCACTTTTTAAATGTTAATTTTACGTCATTTACAAATTTAAATTAATGAAATTTGATTCCATCTAAGTTTTCGACCACTTTTTATTTGAAATCACCATATAACCTACATGTAATTATGTTTTATGTATAAAAAGGTCATATTCTAATTTTTTGGTGGCAAAAAATAGATGTGAATTAAGTTTAATCCTACTTTTTAAAAGAAGAAATGAATATGGTACTAGTCAGATCCTATTTTTTGGGGTAAAAATAAATGTCGAATAGATCATTTGTTTAACAACAAATAGAATCTAAACTTTTTACCTTTAAAAATTGACCATGTATGGGTCATGTGATAGATTCAGAGTAAAAGTGATCGAAAATTTAAATTATGATAAAAAATTATAAAATTGATTTTGTAAGAAATGTAAGGTTATTATTTTAAAAGTGAAGGACGAAAAAATTCATTTGACGAAATGTGACATTGTGAACAATTTTCCCATTTATTAGGAAAATGGGAATTTCGGAGAATACAAAGACAAGACAAATTTTACATGAAATTGGTCAAATAAAAGGTTCTCATTTGTTTACCTTTTTTTTTTAACATTCTAAAAAAGGCAAAATTTGCAATTTTACAATTTGTACTAATACCCTGAGATTGGAGATACACAAAAAGGAAATAAATTTTGTCGCTTCTCAATTTTACTCTACTCAATTTTTTTCTCTTTAAATCTAAGCATGTGATTTGTCTCGAGGACATACAGAATTCGATAAACATAATAGTTTCTTATTTGGGTAAAAATTTGGTCATGATTGTTCGTTGATGTGGGATGAGACCGTATATGGTTGTAAGCGTAATTCCAGTATTTGATTAGCACCTCAGACGAAGTTGCCAATAACAGTCAATAGGGCTGGGCCATCCAAATATCCGACCCGTTTGACTCGATAAAAAATCCAATAAACCTAACCTATCAGTATGTATTTTTTAAGAACTATTACTTGTTCATATTTAATTTTAATGTTGTAATTCTGTGAATATTAAATTAGTTTTACAACTTTATAGTCATAGCAATTATATTAAGAAAATTGAGGAGTAATAAGTGAGTTTGGACTAAATTCAAACAAGGCTTAAAACTCGAATATTTTATGAGTTGAGCATGATCTTCACATTTTTTGAACCCAAAACTCATGATTTAAACCCCAAAAGTGTTACAAATTAAATGAACTAAGCCCAAACTTATGAACGACCGGCTCATAAGGTCCAATTGACAGGTCTAGCGACCAATGTGGCTTGATCTAAATTTTCTTTGAATGGACATGTTTTCCTAAGCACCATGTGTTTGAAAATTTTTTTGAACACAGACGAATCTACCAAAAAAATTGGTACTATAGTAATTTTTATAAAATCATCCAAACACTTCTTGAATTTTTTAATCAAAAATAAATTTTGACGGACAAAATTCAGTTAGTAGCCCGATCAATCATCAAAATTTAAATCATATAAGGATTTGTACTATTCAAATAGTACAAGAAAATCATCTAATCATTTCTTGAATTTTTTTAAAATAGAATTTAATTGACAAAATTAAGTCACAATACCAAGAGTCAATCAATCATCAAAGGGTTTGCCTAACGGATGTTCGTTGTAGGGGTGAGCAAACGGCATATTCGGTAATTCGGGTATATGAATTTGGTAAATTCGGTTATTAGACTTATAGAAATTTAAACCATTTTCAAATTCAAATTGGAGATACCCGAATTCATTTCAATTCCGAGTTTGAATTTGGAAACGGTAATGAATTCGGGTTAACCGAATTCATTAAAAGAACATTATAGTGAAAGTATGTTATTGTGTAGTTGTATACACAATATCACTTATTTACTTATAAATTACAAAGTATGTAATACATTATACTTACATTTTTTCTTATTTCTTATATAGCTTTTTTGGAAAAATATGCAAATCACTTAATTTGCTTTTAATAGTGAAAACCAATACACTAATACATTAATTTGCAATTCATATGCATTCACTTAGACTGCTTAGTTGTTTTGCCTATGTTTAATGCCTTAAGATTAGTGAATAGAGAATATAAATTTTTATGTTAAATATGTAATGTAATTTTAGAGTACACTAATATTTGCAAATTACAAGTTACACATTCAAATATCAATAATTCAAACATAAATGATATACCAAATTACCAATATCTAAATTCTAATTATTAATTATATTTATTGTTTAATATTTAGTATTATATCTCTACTTATTAATTATTATCTAATTCTAGCCATGTATAAAATAATAAGTATTATAATTATGTTATGTATTGTTATATATTTGTATTATTATAGTTATATAACAATTAACAAATACTAAAATAGTATATTGTACATCATTATTTATTATTATTATCATAAGTACATGATAATACCATATGCTAACTATAATTAATAGCATTTACCTATATAATATAATAATATATTAGTAGTATATACTAATACTAAATAGCATTTATCTATACATTATATAATTTTATAAACTAATTTGGTATTCGAATGCGGTAATACGGTACTCAATTTCATTTTACCGAATTTGAATTCGAAATCGATTATTACCAAATTCATAATCTCATTACCTATTTCATACCATATTAGAATTCGGTAAATACCGTTTTTGTACTAAATTACCAAATACCCGATTTCAAATTACTAAATTGAATTTGAATTCGGAAATGAATTTGGTATGTACCAAATTTGCTCACCCCTAGTTCGTTAGGCATTCATTAAAATATACTTTAGATTTTTGAAAGATAAAATTAATTAAGAAAAATGTATAAATGTAAGGGAGGGTAATAACTATTAATGTGTACATATACATAGTAGGCTATGTGGAATTTATGTGTGTTAACAAATAGCCAATGAGCACCGGCTAGAAAAACCCATCATCAAAATCGTACCATTAATGTAATTATAGAGATATAATTATATGTTCATCAACATGGTAAGATTAGGTTGTGCAGATAAGATTAGCCTGCAACCCAGACGTGCTGATCTCTCAATTGACTGAATCTAGATTTTTTTGGACCAACCCGGGTCTATTAATTTGGTTGAATATAAACTTTTTTTTCTCTGTCTTCCCAAATTTAATGATCGGGCATAGGCCACATCGTGGCCTAACATGGTTCTTTTTTTTAATATTTTTTTTGTGTAAATGAGAGAGTTTGAACTCGAAACCTCTCACTTACCCTCCCTTCCTACAAGTTACTCAATCCATCCCTGCTCCCCCTCCCCCCACATTAACCGTAATCTGTAGCAATAGCCCAAAACCAAACCCCAATTAACCCTTGCAATTGCATGTGGCAATTCTATAGGCCGTTAATCCGATAG